TTGCTAACAAAAATCTTGCAAAAAACTTATCATTGTAACTTAACTTCTTGTTTTCAGAGATAATGGAAGTTCTTGATAACCATAAAATAATTAGATTCAAACTGAAATGTATATACCAACAGAGCCAACTATGATAGAATTAGCTCCAAGCATGGAGGGATAAGGATCTCAAGGTAACTATTTTTTTTTTTAAAGTGGTAGCCTTAACACATTAGCTTGCAAAAAACTTATCATTGTAACTTAACTTCTTGTTTTCAGAGATAATGGAAGTTCTTGATAACCATAAAATAATTAGATTCAAACTGAAATGTATATACCAACAGAGCCAACTATGATAGAATTAGCTCCAAGCATGGAGGGATAAGGATCTCAAGGTAACTATTTTTTTTTTTAAAGTGGTAGCCTTAACACATTAGCTGCAATTATGGTTCCCGGCGTCTATAAGATATAATGATTATTTACGTCTGTATTAATCTTTAGATCTAGCCAACTCCCACTCAAATATTTTTAAAAATGACCATTTTAGAGACTGTAAGATAGGAAAAATTCTAAACAACCCCATCCGAAGTCGAGACGAATATCGGAATCCAAGGACTATAACTGCAGCTAACGTGTTAATAATAACCGATTATTTATATGGTGAATATTAATTATAGAAGTAAATGATCAAGACAATATTTAAATTTTAGATGTTTATTGATAGTTAAATATTAATATAGTTAAAAAATATAAATATAGATCACATTAATAGACCAATCCCTCAGATATTACTGTGTGAGTAAATTAGTAACAAATAAACTTTTAATGAACATTTGGTATCAAATTATACAAACTAATGTAATCAAATAATTTTTTTTTTTTTTGCAGGTAGGTAATATTACTACAAGTAGCGGAGTGCGGTGTCCCCCCAAAATTTTAACACAAAACCCATACTTCAGTGTGGAACCAATGTACTTTGTCCCAGTTTCCGACAAGTGCGCGTAGTATTTTAAATTGTGATAGTGTTGGTGTTGCTCCAGAATCAACAGAACCTTTCTACAGCTTCAAAAATAGTGAGTAACTCTTTACCTTACACTTAATTTATAAATAAATTAACCAAATCTAGAAAAATTTGAAAAGTTGCACAAACCATTCCCATATCTGCCACTTGTAGAACGCTTCTCTCTGTAGAAGAAGAACACCCCATTGAAAGAATTATGACATTCGTTTTACATTAATTTGGAGTTTGATTTTCATACATACATACATAGATGGCACTATATCGTGTCACCGAGACTCCTCCAAAAGCTTTCGCCAGTCAATACGATCAGCTGCAGCAGTATCAGACTTCCAGTAGAGCCCATGTGTCCAATGTCACTGAGCCCTCCCATCTTACATTTGGCCTGCCAACCTTTCTTTGTCCAAGCATCTTTCTGGACATCATATTCCCGGGTATCGCCGAATCATCCATACGTGCGACATGCACAGCCCATCGAAGTCGTCCTATTTTGATAAACTTGACCAAGTCTATATATCCTTATAACAGCCAGCGAGTTCAGCATTTCTTCTTCTCCAAATCTCATGCTCTCTAACAGGACCAAAAATCCTTCTCAAGATTGATCTCTCAAAGATCAGAAGTCTATTTTCATCTTGCTTCTTAAAGGCACATGCTTCTAATCCTGAAGTTAAAACAGGGCGAATCAAGGTTTTGTAGAGAGTGATGTTGGTCCTGTTAGAGAGGAACCTGCTTCTAAAATGCTTCGCAAGGCTAAAGTAGCACCGTTTCGCTGTTTCTATCCTGTTGACTTCTCGAGAGATGTCGTTTTCAGAGTTGATCTCAGACCTGAGGACCCGAGGTAGACAAAGCTGCTTACCTTTTTGAAATTATATGGTCCAGCCATAAAAGAACTGGTCTCTGAGTAATCTCATCTGACTCTCATTACTTGGTTTTAGCTTCATTAATGTGTAGCCTAAGTTTCTTTGCTGCATCTTCTATGGCAAAGAACGACTCTCTTAATGCATGTTCCGATCAGGCAGCAATATCTAAGTCATCAGCGTATCCAAGAAGCTAAATGGTACTGTTAAGGGTTGTGTGGAATTGGATTCTGGACATAGGCACTGCTATCTCTGCAACAAAGTTAAAAAGAAGACAGGCTAGAGCATCTCCCCTGTCTTACAAGGCATTTAGTATGAAAGTCTTCCGAGAAGTCACTTCCTACTCGTACTGCACACTTCGAGCCTGACATTGTCATTTTCATAAGACGCATCAGCTTAAAAGGGACGTTCAAGCCTTGTTAGTTTGCAGCTTTACTGTGGCTACTTCTATGTATTCATCGTCCGGTGGCTCGGCATCGTTAAGTTAAAGAATTTGTCCTCTTCTCTTGCTATTTCTCCTTCAAAGTTCTCTCTTTGAAGCGCACCGTTGAAGTGCCTTGCCCATCTCATCAGAACTCCTCTATCTCCGTCAACAGTTTCCCGTGCTCAGTCTCGTATGTAGTAGTTACTTTTGGTTTCAAGGCATTGCGGCCCTCATTCAGTTTCTGAAAGAAGAGGTGAGAGGTACGAGATGTCCTAGTTTTCTACGTCCTTCAGCTTGCAGTCCTCCCATGCTCTCTTCTTTCTCTTGTGTAATTTTTTTTCATCTCTTCTTTTATTTCGTTACGTCTCCTGTGTTCGACATGTATGGTGCTGGATAGCCTTCTTATACACTTCATTTTTCTTATTTGTTGCCTCAATGCAATCATCATCAAACCAAGAGGACCTCCTGCTTCTTATCTACAATCCAAGGATTTCCTCTGCAGTAGTTTTCAGCACTCTTGAAATTCCCGACCACTGGTCATCCACTGTGTCATTCCTACTATCCCTTAGTTCCTCGTCCAGCATAATTTAAAGTTTTTGCTGAAAGGTTTCACATACTTCAGGATCCTTCAGTTTATAAACATTGAATTTCTTCAGAGATCTCCAATATCAGAGTTCCATTTCGTGATAATCCGAGAAACTTCAGTCTTCATCAGAACAAAAATGGTAATGGCCAAAGAGTGGTTGACTTAGCGAAAACTCACGTCCTGTTGGTCGGAAGTACCATGTTCCCAGGAAGAAATATATGCAAAGCTACCTGGAGATCACCTAATGGAGCGTTTTCCAGCCAGATCAGCCACATCTTAACTCAGGTAGTGATCCGAATTCACGTTTGCTCCTCTATATCTTCTTACTCCAATTAAATTGGTCCTGTGATGAGAGCTGATTAAGATGTGGCTGATCTCCAGGTAGCTTTGCATATATTTCTTCCTGGGAACATGGAACTTCCGACCAACAGGACGTGAGTTTTCGCTAAGTCAACCACTCTTTGGCCATTACCATTTTTGTTCTGATGAAGACTGAAGTTTCCAATTGTTGGTAGGTGTATTCTTTCTGTACTTATCTGGAAGTTCAAGTCTCCTAGAACTATTATAGCATCATATGCAGGACAAATCTTTAGGGCTTTAGAGAGGTCTTCGTAAAACGTTTCCTTCTCTTCATTCGATGACACTTCAGTAGGTGCACAAGTAATTATCGAGATATTAAAGAATTTTCCCTTAAGACGTAGGTAGCATAATCTAGGGGAGATGGGAGTAAACTTTGTTACTAATTGCCAAGCTCTTCCTCTGATGATGAATCTGGTTTCATATATATGGTTGGTTTAGTGGCAGCTGTAGTATATGGCATCGTACCTCTTTTCAAGGATGCCACTTCTAAGCCAGCAGACTTCCTGGATCGCTGCGATGTCAATTTGTTTGAGGAACGCTTGAAGGGCTTCAAGTCTATATAAAGATAAAATGTTCCATTAGGCGATTTTTAAGTCCTTCAAATGTTTCCTGGTTTTATTCTGTAATGATAATCCGGCTATTTCTGCTTGTAGGGGTTTCATAATTATGAGTATTTAAGGGAAGTGGGTTATTAGCCCACTGCTCCCCAAGTCAGAAGGAGGGGTTGCCTCCTCAGAGCCTCCTGACCGGCTCGTAGCAAATTGTCAGGCTCTAGCCTACCTCATCGGTCTTCTAGACCTACTAAGAGGCGTTTCCAATAAGATATACGTATTTTTAGACTAAGGGAAAGTGAAAGTAAAAATTATAGATGCTATATTTATTTGAAATTTAATTGTGGGTATTTTTATTTGTTTAAAGCTATGTATATACAAACTTTAATTTTTATATCGCTTTAATCTATACAATTAAATATTAAATAATACCGAGGATAACATTTATGAAAACTGCATATGTATTATGTTGATAATATTGTCAGAGTCCATATTACATTAAGCTCATGTTATGGAACTCTGTTGTAATCTTTTGGGTGAGTTCATATTCCTTTGGCTCCTCCATTACAACTATTATCCGTTACGATCTCTTATTTCTCCTTTCGTTAATTATCAAATTCTTTCATATTTTATATTTAACTATTTTTTATATCAAAGATTAATGTGAAATGGTTAATTATTTTGAATAAAATAAATTAAAGGTACTTTAGTGGAAGCTAATATTTAAAATTAGCCATTTAAGCCCTGTTAGAGAACATCAATGAGAATAAAACCTACATTATATTAAAAACTGTTTAAAAATACACTGATATACTGTGATTAATCAAGATCGTTTTTGAGAAAATCCTAGAAATGTGCTAAATAGATTATATAAAGTACCACTTCCGATTTTCCGATTATGACAAAAATGTTGCTGAAATATCGAAGGCTTATAAAAACCTCAAATATACAATTTCAGTTTTGTACGACTTTTCGTATTTGAGCTAGGCTGTTCATATAGATACACACAGACCATTTTGTGGGACTTGATTATTTGGACTCAGGAGATATCAAAATGGATATTTCCGTTGAAAACTGAGATTCAAAAATGTTCACGATCGCAATACTTATCCTTACTATATATATATATATATATATATAGGTGAGCGAAAGTAAAAATATTATAATAGGTATCCATAATAACCAAAAGAAGAACAATATTATTATATATTAGTTTTAATCTTACCCTTTTCATCAATAGGAACAGTGTCCGGTTCTCCATCAGCAACTGGTTCCAACTCGCTAATGCTGACAGTCCTGTTTAAAAAAAAAAAAAAATAAAATAAAAAAAAATGAAAGAATATAACTACTTTAGACATTCTAATGTTTAAAAGTCATAGACAACATTGTTCATAACTGATTATTACTAAGTTACACTATTTTTAAAGTTATAAATTTTCTAAATTAATGTCAGAGACCAAATTTTGGTACTAGTTCACAAGAGTTCCGCACGGATTACGCGTGGTTCACAATCACTTCGATCACACTTGTTCATGGAATCCCGAAAACAGCCGAATGTTGTCGTCTTTTATGACGCCAGCTATTGCCCCATAATACAATCCCTTTTCAAGCATTTATGAAAAAATACAACATATTCCCTTTATGGAACTTCCTTATTAAAAAATTGTGTATTTACTAATTAGTTAATTATTAATTTTTATTATAACGGTTATTACTTTGAAAGAAAAAGAAAAAGAAACATAAAATACTGTTTGAGTAGTTTCTTCAAGCCATATTAAAAAAAAAAGCTTTTAATAATAACATTTTTATTGACACGTGCTTACATGTAGTGGCTGTAAATACGCATATACTGTATATTATCTTTTATAACTGTGTATAAAAGATTTTTTTATCATTTGGGTAATAAATAATTTTAAGTTATCTATTATCTTTTTTTTTGCTATTCGAGTTTTTCAATAGAAGTTGGAATAATTGAATTTATAATTTATTTTAGCAAGCCTTTTTCAGAATTGCGCAATCGTCTATCTAGTTTATGTATTTTTTTAGATTTCTAATAATACAAGGGGCTATTTTCTAGTGGAGGGGGGCGCTTTGTATGCATATACTGTCTGATTTGTAATTATGATGTGTAATTATTGTTATTCGCAGTTATTTTTCTTGGTAATCCGAAAAAAGGGATTATTGTAGGCTATGGTACAAAAAAAAGTATTTATTTTCGAGAAAGGAATTAACGCATTTGGGAAACAACTGACGAAGAATATGTAATAATTCCAAGATAATGAATATTGGAAATCATCTATAAGAAAAATAATATCGTGAAATAGCAGCCAGAGATGTAATAATTAAAGATTTTTATGTATTACTATTTCCTTTTTACAGATCTATAATATATGTACATGTTCAATTCAGGTTTCATGATGTGTAGCTTAAATTTCTGAATGTAAATCTGCTCCTGCTATATAACTGAACGTGGTTAAGGTTAAAGTACTTAAATGGCAGGAAAGTTAAAAGTAACTGGCCCAAGAGATCGGTCGCCTTCGTTCTCTTTCGGAGAAACACAAACGCATTCGGGATTCCAGGAACAAGTGTGATCGAAGTGATTGTGAACCATGCGTAATCCGTGCGGAACTCTTGTGAACTAGAACCCAAATTTTTATGCCTATATCAATTTTAATTGAGATGTATATTAGTTTACATGCAACAATGTATAATTAGGTTAACAGATCGCTATAGCTCCAGGGGGAAAATCTCTTGACATACCCCTGGGCCTTAGTTTAAGTCCAGCAGTAGCAGATAAAAAATTTATCCAGTCATCAACCATAGATCAACTATGTTGTCCGAAAAAACCTCTTGGAAATGAACATCCAACCTCTAAAAGCGGATAATTGACTATTCATTGATTTAGGACAGGAGTTCCATAACATTTTGGCATGCTGGCCACATAAAGAGCTCCACTAAGTCCCACAGAACGTGACCAAAAACACGATAACAAACATTGAAAGTCCAATGGTGATACTAATGATAGATACATTGAAATAAAAACATTTCCCCAATCTTGTTCACATTAAAAAGTTCACTTTCATTATGCAAGTCAGGTATTGTTTTTCAACCGGTTATCAATTACTAATGTCAATTTGTTATTGTGTACGATTTACTTCTCTACTGTGCCTGTATACTTACAAGGGCAGAAATAGGAGAAGTATTTTTACTTTCCTACCTAATATGAATCAAATTCCCGATATGCAGTTTTCTTCTTCTTCTTGTTCGGCACTCTTTTTTTTTTTTTTTTTTCTTTTTGTTCTTTCCTACCTCACCTTTTAGGCTATACGGGATTTTCCCGGGCCGGGGGGTGAAGGCGGGGAATTTAAAATCCCCTCCGGCAATGGGACACGAACTCGTACTTTTTAAATCTTCTCAAATCTGTAATCCAGTTGCCGCCAGGCAACTCGCGGTGCTGTGCACACTGCCCCCAATTCTTCTTGTTCGGCACTAAAACTCGTGGTGAGTCAGGGCCTCCTGCAGCATCGACCACCAGTCATTTCAGTGTATTGCTGCTGCTTTCCAGTTCCGCACCCCTAAGATAGACAACACATTTTCTGGCGCTCCCTCTGCCCATACCAGTCTTGGCCTGCCAATTCTTCTCTTGGATTATATCCTTTCTTCAAGCACTTTCTTTGGGATCTTATCATCTTCCATTCTAGTGACAAGCCCCTTCCAGCGAAGTCTTCCAAACTTAATAAATCTTACATTTATATTCTTGTACAGGCTAGCTATTTTAGCATTTCTTCTCTGTCACCAGACATGATTGGTGAAGAGCGGCCCCCCGAAAATTCTCCTTAGGACCTGCCTCTCAAATCTTAGGAGTAGAAGTTCTTGAGCTCGTGAGATTGTACAGCATTCAGAAGCATAGGCCTTATGAACATTTTGCATAGCTGCACTATAACTTCTATTTTCTACAACTATGATATGAAAACACAGTGTGAAATAGTTGAATCATTATTTTATAACATTTAGCAGTATTAGTTCATAAGGATTTGCAAATAAATCAAAATTTAAGCTTACCTTTTGACCACCTTATCATCATTTTGAATGTTGTGACCATTATGTAAATCTTGACTAACATTTTCATCCTGCGTCTGAGAATCCTGGTTTTCATCATATTTTTTTGGCATCATCGTCGGCAAATTAGGGATGGAATACGTGGTTGAGTCCTTGGAGCCAAAGAAATCGTTCTTCTCATCAGTCTGAGATTGGCTAAAAAATAGTAATTTTAATTGTAAATTCCTGACCATACAAAATCACGGACATACTTCCAAGTTTCCCAGAATTCATGAATGGTGGCTACCCAGTGCTATGCATCATCTAGTCTTTTCCAACCTTTATACATCATTTAAAGTCTAGTAAGAAACAGAGAAATATATTTTTATAGAGAAATGATGGGGAACAATCTACACCTTTCTTTATAATCCTGATGAGTTCATATGTTACACCCAACAGCGGATAGTAATAATAAAAAATATTATAATAATTCCCCCCACCATTTCCAAACAAAATTCACTTTGAATCAAAATTCATTTGACACATATAAAAAAAAAAATCTGTCATTTGAACAGAAAAAATGTACAACATAGTAAATATTGACAAAAATTACATGTTATAATAAAGTTACATAATAAACCAATAAAATAAAAACAATACCTTTGGCTGTCTGGGCCGTAAAGTCCAACGTTAGAAGATGAATTAAATTCTGAAGGTCCTAATCCTCGAACGGGGCAAACAGTTTCTTTTAAATTATCATCCATTTCTGGGGAAAAGAAATATAATAAATTAGAGTAATTTAATCCATAATCAATATTGAAATGTGTTAATTTAACAATACAAATATCAATCAATTACAAAATAAAAACTAAATTTTATGAAAATGTGATTATTGATTCAGATACCAGGTTTCTAAATATGAATGCATAAGTTGTCCATAAATGGCTTCAGTTATTACTATAATTGCTATTAAGCCATAATATCGGTGCCATTTTATTTCTAAAGCCGATGGTAAAACATTTTTAACTTAACACAATACCAGTTTCATATAACAGTATCATTTCAATATTGTTGAACATCTTGAGTTATGTACCTACAAACTACAGTTTGTAGGCAGCATTAGTTTTCTGCTACCATTTAAAATAAAATGCTGCAGAATCGCATCAATTGTCGAAGCTTATGGTTAGCACGCTCTTGGTAAATCACAGTGCGTCGAGTGTTTTTAAAAATTCAAAGGAGTTGACTTTGTTTCTTGTTGACACAAGAAATGAACATGAGAAGAGCACCCACAAGTTTGAAAATAGAGAATTACAAGCATTGTTAGATGAAAGCGGCGATCAAATCCAAAAACAAACTCATGGATCAATCGAATGAAACATGAGAAGTTGTCTCCTGACATTTGAAAGCCTTAATAAAAAATACTAAGAAAACCAGAAAACCTGCTCACAAGGTATAAAAGTAAGTCATTTCTCCATCAAATAGTGATGGATGATGAAACTGAATATATTTTGAGAAATCTAAGTGTCAAAAACCATGGATAACTCCAGAAGTACCATCGACATCAATTTCATGGCCAAGTTGCTTTGGAAAGAAGACAACGCTCTTGTGTGAGCTATATGAGCTGCTAAAACCACTAATACTGAAATGTTCAGTATTAGTGTTTGTTAAATTAAACATTTATTAAATCTACAACAAATGATCAGTTTGAATCTAGCATTATGGGACATGATGAAAATATCAAAAAAACAACACAAAGCGATTTTGCTTCATTATAATGCACTATCACACACAGCAAAACCAGTGAAGAAAATGAATGAAACTTATTCACGAGACTTAGTTCCATCTGATTACTTTTATTTGAATCGATGGGGTACATATTTACTTGCTCAGCAGCACTTCGCTGCTTATGAAAATGACTTGATGGCAGGCTTCCCAAAGAAAGAGCAACAGTTTTTCAGACATGGCACACATAAATTGAGAGAAAAATGTACAGCTAATGATGGAAAATATTTCTAATCAAATATTTGTTGACATTTTTATGCAATGAAAGCGTATTTTCTATACTTATACGCCTGGTGTACTTTATGCCCTACTACTAGGTTGTTGACAACAGTGTGTAAATGCCTAGAATGAAATGTTTTGATTTAGTGTTATTTTTATTATTGCTTAAAATTTACACAAAAAAATTAAGTATTAATTTTTGTACTCAGTTATTAGCATCATTTCATGAAATAATACTTATTATTTAAAAACATATCTCAATGTGACAAAAATTAAATTTGTAAACTATTTTGTCCCTCTAAAACAGTTAAGATCTGATTTATCTGACAAGTAAATATTAGTGATAATAGACTCTTAAAATATGGAATTACGATTTTTTGATAATGGCATTACCAACTTCTAAAGGACAATTACCTGTTCAACAACAGGTATTCAAAATGTTTTAACTTTATTGACTTAGAAAAGTACATTTAATTTATATTATTGCCATATTATAATATTGATATACTATTTATATAGATTATATTGGCAAAATATATAATTATTAGAAAATAACTGGAAGATTTCAAAAGCAAAGCTCCGAGTCTCTAAAATACTGGTTAACAATTAACCAGTTAAATAAGGCATCATGAGGATAGAAATAACATGACCACTTGTATGCTGATTAAATACAACACACTTACAGTGTAAAGTGTGTTTAATCAATCCATTAAAAGTTGTATAGTGATTTTTTGTGAGGATGGCATGATCGATTTTTAACTATGACAGAGGTAATTACTCAGTTAAATCTTGTGAATGTTTTGAAACAATTTGAGTTCAGAATACTGAAAAAAATAATATTATAGTTTAATTATCTTGATTATAAATTTATTTGAAATGAAATCATGTGATCATATATTACTAAAATGAATTGTTAATATTTTGAAATCTGAAAATATAAAATAAAAATAAAAAACATTTTCATTAAAAAATAAAATCAGACTACAGAAATTGAGAAATTCTACCTACCCTAAGGCATTGAACTTTTTCATCTACTTATACATTTTGGTAGATTGGTTGGGAAATTGATATCTACGAATATTTAGACTTGGTTTAGTAGTCGGGTGTCTAACATATCCTCAATGAAACTAAAGACACTTTTGGATATTGACATGCACAGATACATAAGATAAAATCTAGTTGCCTGGAGCCTTAATACATAATGAAAGGCTATTATACCGAGTTTAAATATTCGTAGATGTCAATTTCCTCATCAATCTACCATGATGTTTAAGTAGATATGGAAGTCCATTCTCTCAGGGTGGATAGAATTTCCCAATTTCTGTAGTCGTTTTTTTTTTTTTAAATTCAAATATTTTTTATTGTTAAATATCTTTGTAAAACAAAATAAAAGTTTTTAATTTTAATATATTACATTATTTAATATCAAGACTTTAATTTGCTCCTGTTCTGGTAGCCAAATCTAACATTACGTTTTTTATTTGGTCTCAGTACAGATCATCAAACCTAATATACTTGTCAGGTGGTTTGATTAAGAACAATTAAATTTAACCATTTACTCATCATTGTTCTCAGTGAATTAAATTAAAATGCCATCATTACTTGAGAACTTGCATTTCAAAAATACAAACATAATTCACATTTGACAAAGCATAAAAAGCCTAACACTGAATAAGGTCTCTTGTGGCAGCAATGTCATTCAAACCGATTCAATAAATCACAAATGACACTCGGATGAACTGGAGACAAACTAACTCACTGATTCACACATAAAAGTAATTTGTCACTTTTCAATTAATTTACTCAACTACAACTGACTAACATAAATGTTACTGATGAGCTTTATAAAGCTTACAGAGTGCTTTATGTAAGACTAAACCATTACCTCGAATCTCATGATGAAAACCAGCGCCAGATTTTTAAATATTAATAATAAACTTGTAAGTCAGTTCCAATTAGATCTTTAAAATATTTTTCACTATTTTAATGATGTTCAACATCGAAAATCATAATAAAATTGAATTTAACAAATGATGATTATTACTTAAAAGTAAATGTTACAAATAATCCATTTTAAAAAAACATTAGCAAAATCATAGGCCAACAACTAAAGCCTTACGAGAGGAGCTTAGGCTGAAATATTATGCATTATAGTCATAGCTGATTCTAAGCAACATCAAGTTCATACAAATAAATCTATACTAACATTCATTTGTTAAATGATTAAACTAAACTATTAATATTTATTTCTAAAGGATATATAACTAAATAAACTAGAGACTGTTCAATTAATGTAAATTTTACATTGAAATCAGAAACAATTTCCCTAGATTTATAATTTATTTTACTACTTTTACTTTTTAACATATATCATTCACATACTTAAATGCATATATAAATATATATTTTTATAATTTAACAGTGAATTTATATATGTCTGAAAAAAATTTGACCAAAAATGTTTTAAGCCCTGCTCATTTGGTTTACGGAACCCGGGTCTGGTTGCTATGCTTCCACAAATCACCCCATTTGTTCTGTAAAATCAACTAACTCCATAAAAAATGATACTTTTTAAACTTAAAAACAATCAAATAAAAAAAAATTAATAGTATTAATAAAATAACAATTCTATTATTTAGTATCGCTGAAAAACTTTAACATCGTTTTTGATTCTCTTGAGAGGTAGCAATATTTAGACATTTATTGTTCAAATAAAATAGTAATGAATCATATCATTCATTAATAAATTAACAATTTCCACTTTAAAATAAACATAAAACATGAATGGGTTCACATGATAACCTTGTAACTTACTTTTTTGCGGTATTTTTTTTTTTTAATTTGAATTACAAATTTGTGGCTAACAGATTGACAGACCCCTACCTAAAAAGTTAAACATTGGCTTTTGCCAATTTTCAAGCCACAGAGCTATTAGATAAAAAAATATATGAAGTCAAGAAAATCTGTTACGAGATTATTATGTGAAGATATCAGTGTTTAATTTCTTGCTTACAAAATATTTAAGTTGGCACATACTAGGTCCATGATGGTAATGATATTACTTAATGAATGTTCAATTAAGTGAACTTAATTCAGTTGATTACTTATAATAAATAACAAAGTAATAATAGTACTCTATAAGAACAACAAATAATAGATAATAAATATTCCTAAAGTAATTAAAAAATAAAGCTGGCTGATCTAATATGAATGCATGAGATATATATCTGTTACAATTTGCCCAACCAGGCAATGATCAATGTTAATAAAATTTGCAATCAAACATCAATTTAGAAAAAAAAACTGAGAGTACCCAATAACATAACAAATTTCAAGGTGAACATAGAAAATAAAATTGCACACCTTATTTCAAATAAAACAATAGGTCATTCTGGGAATTAGCAATAAAATAACACAGCGTAAACTGAAGGAACTGGAAGCATTATTACTTCAATGATAAAACAAGTCTTTTCAAATTCAACATAAATTTCTTTATATATTTAAAATTTTACTTAAAATGTTTTTTAAAAATTTAAGATATTCTTTACTTCATGAAAAACAAAATACTATATTTTCTAATACAGGTATAAAATCTTATTTTTAAACCATCTCAAAGCCATTTAATGATATATTTCACATGCTTCAAATAAAATGGTGCACATTTGAACTTCAAAACTTATATTGTTAATTAAAGAACCTTCTATAAAAAAGAAGATAACTCTGGTATATAACCCAGCTTGCTTATCATAACAAAATATTAATACTTCTGTTATTCTATTAAATATGTCAGTAAAAGTAAAATTTTTGTAACACTAATATCTAGTTAAAACAAATATAAGCTAAAACCATTAAGGTTGGTAAAAATATATAACTTGGGTGATACTTAGTTTTAAGAAATTCTGAAGAGAATTGATAACAAGTAGAATAACAGATTAAACAGAAAATGACTTAATATTCTTAAACAATATTTTGTTAAAAATAAAAACTTATAAAGAATAAACTGATTACACCACTGCATAACACAATGCAAAAGTTTAAAAAAACAATACTATAGGGTTAAATTTCAGTGATAAATTACTAACAGATCAGAAGAAACTAAATTTATCTGCAAAACGGCAAATGCTTGACATAATCCTAATGATCTTAATGTAATCAGTTAATTACCTGTAGACACAACTTTAACTACCTAATCACTTATAAAATAAATAAAACTCATCTCATAAACACTAAAAAGATTTTTTGAAATAAATAGTAATTCCAATAAGCTTCACATTACACTTCCACAGTACGCTTGTTTGCTTAAAACTTACGGCTAAACGACCATCCAATAGTTCAACTTGATGCAAGAAAGCATTGTTATCCTCAATCCAACAATCAATAAAAACATAAACGTTAAATAAATAAACTATTTCCAAAAAAATAGATGTATTTAACAACGCAAAAAACACCGAAGAACAATTATATTTTTTACTTACTTTGAAGAACAATTTCGCTTGACTACCACTGTAACCGTTAGTGAGGTTTCTAAACATAAGTTTGTTTGCTTCTGCTAGCGCCTTCGTTGAAAGCCGGTAAATAACGCTTTGGAAATTTTAATTATCAAAAAAGTATAAGAAAAAAATAAATCAACTTTATTATAACAACTAAAAATAATAACGCTAAGTTTTTTTTTCAAGGTCCAAAATTATGCTTTCTGTTATTTATAATTTTGCTATACAACGATTAAAAAATAAATTATTTCATTTCTTTAAATTATTTTCATAATTATTATTTTTTTATAATTAAAAATCATTATACGTTGATTTTTTTTTTCGATGTAAGCTCCAAGCCCCAAGTGGAAGGAAGCCATTTTTTTTTAACGTGGCGGTAAAATTACTTCTGATGTTTCAAACTCAGATCAAGTTTTTTTATTCTTTACCAACTGACTACGATTTTGTAATTTCAATCAGAATGAAACTTTAAAAAAAGATATATGCACGTGAAATGAAAGTAATTTCATTTTCCTTTACCTATTACATGGAAAGCAAAACAATACTTTTTAAATAGTTGAGCCGTTATTGTAACTTGGGACCATCTAGAGTGATAGCTTAAAACAACTATATGCGCCAAAGTATAACAGCATTATTAAAAGTATTTTTCATTTACATCTTTTTATGTAATTAAGATATTACTTATTAATTTACTGTTATTTTCTGTTTTTATAACTGGAATAACTATTTAATGGTTTCAAGACTTTTTAAGACCAATTAAGTAATTTGAAATTATTTTGTATGAGATTCTCTAGTTGGTGGTTAAAATAAAACAGCATATATTTTTAAGCCAGGCAATATATATATATATATATATATATATATATATATATATATATATATATATATATATATATATATTAATATTTTTATTATGACTTTCCCCATCCTTATTATCTTTTAGATTCTGATGGAGATAGAAATAATTGTTTTATGCATAAATAATTTTGAATGTTGATTTATCATTGTTTAAACTTGACAATTCTTCTGATCGAAAGACATAATGATTGATAATAATTTTGCATAAATAAGGCATTATGATATCACATTGCCTGAATTAAGTAAATACTATAAATATTTTATATGTAATTTTAAATATTTCAAGTATGATTATGACTTTAATTGACTAGCTTATAACTTGAAATTTTCATTTAAGAATCATGCATAAACTAATTTTGTTATTGAATAGACCCTGCAAGTTCTTTTCAATAAAAGAATATATTGAAAAGAGCTAAAATATTGTTTATTTTATATTGAAGTTGAAAATGTCTAAATATATATTTTTAAATTAAAGCACGCCAAAGTTTCTTTGATCACATAGTAAAATTTTAAAAACTATTTAAAAAAGTGAAATTTAGCAAATTACTCATACAAAAGATTACCACACCATTTATTTAATTTTTTTTTCTCTTAGCAAGCTCATTACACATTTATTTATTCGACCTTCCTTTTCTTCTAGCAACTTTGTGGGGTATACAAATGTTGACAATTAATATCTAGCGATCATGCGTCATCAACTTGTTTCCAGGCGGTCTCCGTCCTCTTGGAATATTAAAATGAGCAGGGCCAACTTCTGTTTTTCACCCTTACAAAAGACTTGAAGAACGAATAGTTCTCTTCACCAACTGACGGAAATCGTTTTCAGACAGAATTTAGAGCACAATTTCTCTCAGAAGTTGAGCTCTGAGTGCCTATAAGACAGTGCAGTCCACAATATTATATTCAGCTGTCTCCATAACTCCGCAACTGGGGCGTAGGAGATCAATGTCTTTTCCAAAACAATGTAATTTAGCAAGAAAATTCTGTGCCATGTGAGGAATCAGGAGACTCAGTAGTCCTGGATAATCCATTTTGATTCCAATCATGACTAAAGAGTGCGTAAATGTTTCCTCAAGGTGGAACCTTTCATGGTTGTCATCTACCGCCGGTTCTACCCATCAGTGGTATTATCCTTTTTCATTTTCTAGAGTTCTCGACAATCCACAATGTTCCGGCAGACCTGCTGAGCCTTCTCTTTTAAAAACATACTTAGATGAATCATCACACAGGAGAAGGTCGGAAGGTACACCTCCTGCTAAAATGTGCACCGCCTCATAAGAGAAACTCCAATACGACTTAGTTACTCCCAGCAGAACCGTCCCCTGAATCGATTCCAACCTGCATTCCTGCTGATGTGAGGGGTTTCAGAACCAAGTGAGAGTTAGAATGTCCAGTATCACTCCATTATAAATGTTCATGGTAGTTGGGTTCTCATAGGTACCTCATAGGCTCCTTACACAACTTAAATGTCATTTACAGTACAAAATTATGTTTATCATCACAAATCATGGCTCAATGTGGCCTGCGGGCATAACAGATTGGAGACTCCTGCTCTAGAGTACGGAGCTTTACGTTTTTAAACCACTTACATAATACCTAATACAGTAAATTATTAAAAATTGAGATTTGTATAATTTTATATTACATCATTACAAACAATGTAATTTTATTGTTTTGTTGATTTTATTATTTTATATTTTTATAATACAACTTTTTTTCTTCTTTAAGGAAATCAAACTCTTAAAATATATTCAATTTATTTTATCTTGAACAAGTGTGTTGACCCATTTCCTATTTTTTCTTTCTTTGAATTTAAAACATGATGCACACTGAGTATTTATTCTGTTATCTACTGTTGTGTTCAGTGCTTGAGAGTGCCTGCTACTTGTTGGGAATTAAAAAAAAATTACAAAGCTTTTGAGACCAATTAATTTTAGCTTATTAATAAAGCAACTGAATTAAAGATATATAGTATGAAATAATATTCAAACATTATGTAATACAAAATAGCTTAAGATATAATAATTTCTTTGGGGGAGATGAAGTCATTATCCAAGGCTGGTTCTTAGTTGGTTTTTCTGAAGCTGGTTCCTGTATTTGTGTAACTATTCTTATTTTTCTACTAAACATATCATACAATTTTTTTCCAGTAATTTCTTGACTAAATAATCCTTTAAAAGAAGTTTTACATTTTTAAATATACAGGATGTTCCATAAGTGGAATGGAATATTTAAAAGAATAATAGTAGACTTCATGAGCAGTAAAAAGTTTATAAAAACATTGGTCCGATTTTCGCAGAAATGTAGGAGATTTAAGTTTTGTGTTTTTTAAGTAAGTCACGTTGGAAAAGCTTTGATTGAGCGATAGCTAAAAAAATATTTAATTTAAGTAATTAACAATTGCTTCACAATAAAGTAGATAAAATTTAGTTGAAAGAAGACTTTTGTGCGTATGAATTAAGCCAAGTTCTGTTTTAAAACAAAATCATGAATTATTCACAACATATTTTTATTACATTATTCACAATGTATCATTATTCAACTATACTGCAGAAACTCCACTTTTAGAAAAACTGCCTTGTTTAATAAGCTTTAAGGCCATATGAACAATGTTGATGTTTATTACGAAATAAGTTGAGATTCGTATCAAGTTGTGTAAAAAAATTATGAGGTTTAATATCCTGTTACCTAAAATTTACTATGTTTTCAGAAAAAAATGACTGAAATAACTTATTACAAAGCTTTAATTTATTTTATTCTGTTGTTTAAAGAATTGTCCATTGTATCGATTGATAGGTATGCTGTGTCTGTAGCAACTCTATATAATTGAGCAGCTCCTTTTTATGAAAATAAAGTGATTCTCTCTCCTGGGATGTATGTACTATAATAATCATAAATGCCATAAATAAACTTTTATTTATAAAAAAAAAAAGTAGTCGAAAATAATGACTTTTCAAATATCTGTCATCTAAAGTAATAATGAAACTGTATTTTTTTCACCAGATCTCTATTATAGTTATTGATCCATATTTATAAATATTCCCAATACTAATATTTACATTTCCATTAGAATAATTGAAGCAATCAGCAGGTTTCTTTATTCTAGAGGAAGTTATTAGAATAAGGAACATCTAGTGGTCTAGTTATATCGGTTATAAATATGGATAAATTCCTATCATAGAGATCTGCGTAAAAAAACAAAAAAAAGTTTCATTATCACTTTAGATGACAAATATTAAAAAAATCATTATTTTTAACATTTTTTTTTTTTTTATGAATAAAACTGTGTTTATGCATTTATGTTTATTATTGTATATACATCTGCTATCATTCCTTTAAATTTTTCCATCTTCTTGCAGAACATCCTGTATATACAAGGCTTGGATCTTGTTCAATTACTTATGTTTGGAGATCTGATTCAATTTTTGTTTTTTATTGGAATTCTCATATTGCAAGCAGTAGAGTTCATGTGGACAACATTTTCTTTTATTCATAATAACAATATATAATTCTATTCATCTTTGTACAATAGAAATAGAAAAATATAATTTTATTCTTTAGAAATTGGTAAGTAGTTGACTGTTGAAATTATAAGGTTGAAAAAAAAATTGTCAAGAATTTCAGACAAAATGTTTTTAATCACTTAGCTAACGTTTTGACCTAAATATGTGGGTCGTTATCGGGGCTAAAAATGAAAAATATAAAGCAACATCAGAAATATTATAAATATAAAAATGTCTTATTTTTTCCAATATAGTGTAAGCAGGAAAAATAACAAATTTCAAGTCTTTATTTCAGCATTTTATTACAATATTACAAGAATCAAATATTACACAGTCACTAAAAACATTTTTATACAATAGAGAGATTTATAATATTTACTGCATCATGTAAAAGTTATTATTAAATCATTTTTGTTAAATAATCTATTGACATCATTTAAATTATAAATTATTTTTCTAAGACTTGTCTCAGAGTTAAAACTAATAAGTTTTTATAAAATGCAGGTTTCTAATAAAATATTATGTGTTTTGGAAAAAAAAAAATGTATCCAAATATCTCTAAGAAATGTATCTATATTTCAATTTGCTATTGATATTTTATTTCTTTAGTATAATTTGTTTCCAAAATTTTTACTAAATAACATTTTTATCTTTTCTTAGGTGGTGTTTGACCTGATACTCAATGATTAGCAGTGTGGTAAGTACTTTTAAATTTTGTATTATTTTTTTTAATTGATTTTATTTATCCTACTCTCGCACATTTGGTTTTAAAACCTAATACTGGGGTTTGGAGCAGTCCTCACTATTTGCTATGGTTCAAAGCCACTTCCACCAATTTTGTCTCTGAGTTCGCTTTGCCTTCTTCAATTTCATTCAGCTCCTATAGTTTTTGAGTCCCCTTTAAAAAGTGGTTTTTCACTAAATACTTTTCCTGTTTATTCTTATCTCTTAAAACCAACCCAGCATAATCTTCTAATCATTGTTATTTACCTGTAGTCAGACTAAGATGGATGTATACTTAATGATTAAACCATCTATTTACCTCTGTTTCCTGATGGGCTAGTTATGTCATCAATTTTATTTTGTGCCTATGTGTTGTTTCTTGTCAATCTTTTTGTTATTAACAATCTAAATTTTTAAATCCACTCCCAATGTCCTTAAAATTTTGCTATATTTATTGTGATTGAGAATAATATTATGATGAGAAGGTGAGCTAGGATAACTAATTAAAGTTTTCAAGATTGATTGAGATTTATTGTTACTATCTAATCCTATGGGTTGATTTCACTTTGGGCTGACAGTTCATAAAAATTAATGCATTAAAAAAACTCTATACTTTTATCGATTGTTCTAAGGAGTAACTAGTATGCTGTCTGTCTAGCAACTCAATATAATTGGGCAGCAAACTGATATATTTTTTATGAAAATAAAGTGTTTCTCTCTCTTAATATAGACATTTATAGTAGTTACGAATGAAGGACGAAATACAATCTCGCAATTATCAAGGTTCTATTGAGATGAAATAATGTTGATTAGTTCTTGACATTCTCATTAACTTTTATATTATTAACATAAGAGCCTAAATTTACAATAAGCATCTTCATTTTTAGAAATCTTACTGTGTTTATGATTGTTCTAATCATCAATTAAAAAAATATTCAGACAAGAATTTATTTATTTAATACTGGGATTCAAACCATAGTAACTAATCAAATAAAAATTCAAGTTTAAGAAATAATTGCACGATAAAATGTGTGTTGTATGAAAATTATAAGAAATTAAAGAAAACAATTTTATGCTTGCTAACTTCTATAAAAGAAGACACGCAGTGACTGAAAATTTATATTGTGTGCTAAAAATCTGGTGCGCACAACACACAACTTTCACTTACCACTCAACTTTGAATAGAAATTATTTTCTGGCCATGTTGGGCTTTTATAAAATTTTTAAATGCATTTTTAACCAAGCTAAAGCTTACAACTAACAAATCATAAATACCATCAAAATAACGAAAATCCTATTTATTATATCATCGGTTGGTTATGGATTTTACGATCCGTTGATTATTGATTCAACGATCCGTTGATTGTGGATTGTAAGACTATTAGTTATTAAACTGTTATTTTCCATTGCAAAGTTTACTAAAATGGAATTAAAAGATTTGCATTATCTGTCATAGACGGGTCAAAAAACACTAGTAGCAAGTGGATACTGTTGTGATATCACAAAAGGGAAATTCATGAAATTCTCTAATTTAATTTCCTAAAAAGTTACATGATGATTTTTCGGAATAAACGGACGATAGATACCTAATTATTTGGATATAATATCAGATCTAGAGTTATTAAACTACAGTAAATATATTTAAGGTTATAAACATATCCATGAAATATAATACTTTTATATTTCACTTTTTCTTTCACACAAGTACAATGAAATAGTATCTTAAACAATGTCATTACCTTGATTCCAGAGATTTTAAATACTTTTGTTTTCAAACTTAAAAAATAAAATTAAAAGTTTACATTTAGTAAGAAAATTTCATTGAAAACATGTGGTTTCTGTTAAATAATATTAGCTTTCAAAATTTATTATTTATTAATTTTCGTCACACTCCAATACTTTCTACGACTTCCTATATTAGATATTGTTTTTTCTAAAATTCTCTGCTTTCCAACGATATATTATATACGTATACCTTCTGACTATTATTTCAGAAGATTCATGTTCAACCTGGATAAGCATTTTTATTTTTTTTTCTTCCTTTATTAAATTATCAAATTCTTTCAAAAGTTATATTTAGCCTTTTTTCATTACTTATAACAATAATAAAAAGTTAATTATTTAAAATAAACCAAATTAAAGGTACTTTAGTGGAAGACATATATGAATATTAGGCATTTAAGCCGTGTAAAGTGACATCAATGGGGATAAGAATTATATGATATTAAAGATCATTTAATTATACAATGATACACCAAGTTTAATCAACATCATTAGAGCTGTTTTTGAGAAAATTGTAAAAATGTGTATCAACGTTGACATAAAGTGGCACTTCTGGTTAGCTAATTTTAAGGAAAAAGTTGCTGTCACATCTGAACCATATAAAAACCTTAAATACATGATATCAGTTTTGGACTTAGGGGACCTAAAAACATGTAGACTAATGGCTTAAAAACTAATTGAAGGATCTTTAACTTAAAAGCTTTTTTTTTTATTGATTATTGTTTTTTTTTTATAGAAACCCAATTATACTTTTAAAAAGTAGGATTACTGGTTTTTGATTTTTAGATTTTCCAATTATAGCAGGTAAAATAGTAGCAGTATGGGGTTGATTAGTTTATTTTCTGTTTTTGGTTTGTGAGCCTATCACAAATGGCAGTGTATATATTCCTTAAAACACCTTCTATTCATGATTATTTTTATAATCTACTCAGTTTTATTGAAAAATCAACATAAAAATTAGTATTAGAATAGTTATTATTTCTTATTAAAGGTGGGGGATGAGTATGTATTTGTTTTAAATATAGTAATTGTCTTGAATAAGGAGATGGTCCGGTGTGGTGGTCATAAGAAGACTGAAATAGTGAAAAATAAAAAATTATTTTTATTTTTTTCACTATTTCAGTCTTTTTATGACAGCCCCAGACCATCTCCTCACTCAATAATATACAATGATCAACCATCTAGTATTCAATAATTGTTTTGTTTTTTCAACACTGCATTAGGTCCGGAAGTAGGTTTTAAAAATGTTATTGAAATGAGTCTCTATTCACAGTGAGGTGTTAGTTATTGACATTAACGCCTATTCTGTCATGCTAACGGGTACTAATTTAAATATTGGCTTTAAAAACAATGCTCAGTTTCTGGTAGTATATTCTTTAGTAGACTTTGGGAGATTAACAAAGAAAAATTTCTTTCTTTATGATTAACATGATCGAACTTATGTTGAAATTTACGGTGAGTTGTTAATTTTCTGATATATTTTCTTTTGTTTCTTTCTGAGCTACCATATTCTGAACATCACATTGTACTTATGCCAATAATTACTAAAAAAACAAATAGACTTATTTTTAAAATTAACTTTGAGGATGAGGGCCAGTTTTATCTACTTTCCTTTTGGATTTTGATGCATAAAGACGAGTCAGACTTGGATAGTAGAATTTAACTTAATGACGGTTATTGTATATTATATCATGTTTTAAATGAATGAATGAAAAGCATTTCATACCTATGGTTATGAAGTCATTTAATCAATATTTTTTTCTTTGTTTATCAGTTGGTTGATAAATAATGCAAAGATCTTAAATTCAAATCACGATCACCCCTCAAACGGTATGGTTTCTGCACCAAGACTTTCTTAATTTAGGGAAGGGACTCAAGTTAGGTAATTGATAAAAATTCAAAAACGTCATGAACTAATTAAATAAAAATAAATGAAACCTTTATTTTATAAATATTAAATCAATTAAATTAAGCTCTTCTACAATAATTACAACTTGACCACTAATTTAAATACTTACCCATCTTTTTTGTACATATATTAATATTTAGATTTTATTCATTCTAAAAATGTTTTTTGAAGTATTTTTTTATAAAGAGCGGTCTAGATGTTTGAAAAAGTTATCCTATCTTCCGTAAACTTTTCAAATACCAATACTCTAACAAATAAACTCAAGTATATGAGTGAATTTTTTTGGTGCCGACAATCAGTTTTAATTGAAATGACAAAAGAGATTATTTCTCCAATATTGTTTTTGTGCTCTGAATTTGTCATTAATCCTATGAAATAGATTTTTTATTAAAATATTGAAAAGTGCTATTTTATTCGGTTTTTCTTCAGGTAGTAAACTGCCATTTTGTCTTTGACTTAAATCAATGTCCTTTTGTTCAGAATATGGAAGTTTCCATTGAAAGGAAAATTCATATTAACATTTATTATATTACTAACATCTGATGATCTGTGAAAATAAACAAAAAATTATCTACAGGTCTTCATCCTATTTCTTATTGAATTTACTTCTGGAACAGAACTAATAGAAGTTGAAATTGATGATGATCCTCCTCCAAATTGGCCCGAAGATCTCAGTACCAGCAGTCAGATTGTCTTCAGGCCATTGTTTGTTTATAAACAGAAGAAGGCGGCTCAGGTTGAGAATAATAGGCGTAAAGCAGAATTGGCCATAGAGGTCCTGAAAAAAGATAGAGAACCAATTGGAGTTTCTTATAGGCCGCATTATTATTATAATCCATATCCGTCCTATTACTACAATCATAATTATCGACCTTATTATTATAACTATTATCCTTATTATCCTTCAAATTAATTTAATATGTTCTTATGGATTCAGATGTGACATACTCATACAGTGGCACTCGAGACATTAACAGTAATAAAAACAAATTATCGTACAATAGAATATTTTAAAAAAATTATACAAAAAACATAAAAATAAAAAAAATTAATTAACTAAAATATTTATGGTTTTGACTGTTATCAGAAATATGCCCACTGTTTTGTTTTTATTATTTTTTTTTAAAGTTGCTGCTTTCTGAATATTGTGCTGAATACTTTCTTAACTAATGTTTTAAGTTATATTGTAACGTTAAATAATTATTTCAAGCATTAATATTTTACATGAATTATTTCGGTATAAACTTGTCTGTAGCTGTAATTCATTTACATGATTCAAATATAGTTCTGTAACATAGAATAAGACTTTTTCATTAACAAATTAACTTTTTACAATTTGTTAAAGTTTAACGAATTCTTCTGACAGAAAAATTTCGTTAATATTTTCTAATGCATGTTATTTTCTTATTTTTTGCAAAGTAAAGCTTATAAATAATGAGAAACGGACAATTTTCTCTAATTTATTGTAAATAAAAATTAAATTAATCTTAAGAAAGTTATTTTTTAAAGACATTTGTTCCAATAGTCATTATATTTTATACTTTGATCATTCCTGCAATTCATGTTACTTATTTATTTCATACTCCAAGTATCATAATTAAACAATGTATGTTTATTTTGTGGACCCTTAAATGATTTGCAGAAATGGTTTGGTGGAGAGAAGGTACAGTCATAGATGTATAATGTATTATTTAATCAAATATATCAATGGGCCTACACAGAGATAGAATGACAGAGGGAAAAATAGATCATGTCCTGGGCAGCAGAATTTTTAGGATGATGAATTTCGAGAATGTTTTGTTTTTTAGCTAAATTAAAAATATTTCTTTTTACTTTTTGGTTGTTTGGCCTTCGTCTTGTCAATTACATGATTTAATATTATCTGGCAATGATATTTATTTCTAAATAAATTACATAAAATACTGACATAAAATTTTAAATTTTATTTAGGGGGAAGGGGAGCAGCGGGATGTGAAAGAAGGAGTGGGAAAATTAAGCTAGCCTCTCCTGTAAAAAATCCAAATTTCAATCCTGACCTCACATGATGCCCTCATGACTGGCTTTTTTCTGTAACTTATCAATTTTGTTTTCTAATTGAATGAAAACCTGTTATCTCTTAATTTTATTGTTTGGAAATTGGTGGCAATTCTTTAAATAAATTTAAAATCGATTTCTGTCAATTTTTGAAGCCACATAGCTATCAAATTAGATATATTAATTTTAAAAAATCAATAAATTAGTTAAGTGGCTATAATGTGAGGCTATTAATATAATATTTAAATAAACAATAATTTCATAAGTTTGAATTTTACAAATTAAATTTTTTTAGGTGATCTTATGCTTTATCTTTCTAATCTTCCTTTTTAATTTTTGATTAATAAATATATTCTTTATTTTATTTTATATATATTATCCTTTTCATGATTCACGATAAGAAGAAATTTGCGTTTTAAGAAATTCTATGACTCTCTCTCCTTTTATTTTTCAATGACTTGTTAAGTCTAAGGTTGACTATCAGTTATACAATATTTTTAACTAATTTTTACTTTCACATACACAAATATGTAATAAAATGTAACATCCCTCTTATATTTGACAAATAATAATAATAATATAACCTTGTGGTAGACCACTTTATACTATTTGGATTCTTTATAAATAAACAACAGGTTATTAAATAATAAAAAAAATTATAAGACCATTAATATATTTATTTATCTCAGGTGTGGGTTACTGACAATCAGATAAACTCAGACAAACTAAAATTAACTATCCTAAACACTGTTTGATTTTAAAATAGAGTCAAATATGGATTGGCAAGCTAACCTTTTTCTTTATTATATGTTTCTTCCTTTGTGACACTGAACTTATTTGTCTTCATACTCTTTCCAAAATTCGGCCAAACAACTCTTCCAAATTGGTAACACTATTACCGGGTTTTACCCACTGGAGCCAGAATCACTTCTCCCATCCTCTCTTCACCCCAGCCAAACACCAACTCGCCAAAACAAAAACCTTTGTCCCTCTCCGCTTTGGGATTTTCCTTCTTGGGAAACTACAGAAAAGCCATTTTCTTTTCCCTGCACTGGTAGAACTAGATTAGCTTTCTTTTTCATTGTTCAACATTGATTTATTAAAACCCTTTTTACTCACTTCCAATAAAGGTGTACATTACAAAATATATAGTAAGGGAAAATATTGCAATTGTGAAACTTTTCAAATCTGAGTTTTCAATGGAAATATACCTTTTGAGGTCCCTTGAGTCCAAATAACCAAGTCACTTAAAATGGTCTGTGTGTGAACAGTCAAGCTGAAAAACTGAAAGGAGTTGAGTATATACCTGGGATGTTATAGCAACCTTTTCCTGAAAATCGGCAAAACCGGAAGTTCCATTTTAAATTATCGATTTTACACATTTTTACGATTTTTTCCAAAATTACTAACGATTTTGATTAAACTCGATGTATTAATGTATAATTAAATGGCCTTTAATATCATTTAGGTCTTATCCTCATTCTTTGTCGCATAGCAGGGCTTAAACACCCAATGTTCAAAATTTCTTCCTCTGAAGTACCTTTAATTTGATCTGTTTTCAATAATTATCTATCTCTCATTGTTAGCAGTTATGAAAAATGGCTAAATATAACTATTGAAACAATTTAATAATTGAATAAAGAAGAAAAAAGGAAAAATGTTTATTTAGGTTGAAAATCAATCTCTGGAAAGAATAATTAGAAGGTATATTTATAATATATAGTTGGAAAGCTGAGAATTTTTGAAAAAAACAATAAATAATATAGAAAATTGTATAAGGTAATGGAGAGTGATGAAAAAATTACAAATGATAATTGCTGAAAACTAAAATTATATGATGGAAATCACATGTTGCCAAGAAAATTATATGAAATTATGTTCAAGTTTGAAAAAAAAAGTATATAAAATCTACCGAATGAAGGCGATGGCATTGTTTTAAAAACTATTTCTTTCTACCTGTGTGAAAGAAGAAGTAAAATGTAAAAATATACCATGTATATGTAAAACATATCTTTACAACCTTAGATATTTTTACTATAGTTTAATAACTCTAAATCCAATATTTTACTTAAATAATTAAGTATCTATCATCAGTTAATTCTGAAAGTTCATCATGTAACATTTTATAAAATTATATAAGTGAATAATTTGATAATGTTTCCCTTTGTGAAATCACAACATTATCCACTTGTAATTAGTGAGACAATTTATGATCTATCAATAGTAGGTGCTGAAAATCTCATAACTCCATTTTGTAAACTATAAAATGGAAAATAAGAGTTTAATAATTAATAGTAGTACGATCCATAATCATTTTTAATTTAAATATACAGATATACTTTCAAATCTCTCTAGGCATATATAGCTTAGGGACTAAAGTTATTTGGTTTACAATAATAGATGGGGATTTCAAGTCTTTATTGTCTACCGTTGATATAATAAATAGGGTTATTCTTATTTTAATGGTCTTAATGATTTGTTAGTTGTAAGGTTTAAGCTTTATTCAATAGCCATCGAATGTTTTCTCTATTTTTCTACTTTTACTAGCAAATCTTTTTTAGGTATGAATGTTTATAAATTGAATATTTCTTTAAAATGATAGTCATGTATACAAAAATAATAATGACTATACATTTATGTATTAAATTATTACTGTGATTTGGATCAGTAGCTCTCAAAAAGTACTTTAAAAAGAGTTATGGTAACTATTCGCTCAACATTGATAAAAAAAACTTGTTACTGATTTTTTCTAACTGTACTTTTTTGTCCCCTTTATTAAACAGACTGTATATAATAAAACTTAAGATTTCATATATTAACTTTAAAAATACAGTTTTATATAAAATGATTTATCTTAAAATTACTGTTTCAAATATTAACTATTTTTGTTATGAGCTGTGAAATAACGACAGTATTATTTCATTGCAATTTTAACAAAAAATTTAAATGTGCTAATTGGTTTTTCAATGTATTACTATCTCAATATTGTTTGGGTTTTGATGAAATGTATTCCAGTTTTTGAATGTATAACTAAATTACACTGTATATTATTATTTATGACATGGTAACGTGGGTACGAAATTGTGGAGAATATTTACTAATTTAAAAATAATAATAATAATAAAGCTTTTAATATTATTACGTTAAAAAAATTCTAAAAACTGAAAGGAGAGGATTGAGAAAAATCCGCAGTCCAAAAATTACAGAAAAAGGATATCGCTTAAGATCAAATAAATTCATAATAATATTAAAATACATACATAATAATAATAAATTCAAAAGATTAAAAGATTCCAGAATTGCTTATGGATCCATGAATATACCAGATAAATTAATTGCATAAATAATTATAAATAATTCACACAACACAGCAATGAGTCCTTGACTTGCCTAAATTTTTCCATTTAATTTTCAATTTCTGTTCTATTTAGTATCTTAAAACCGTAGAGTTGGCGGAGTTTATCTCCGATGGGGTGAGTTCAATCAGCTTAAGGAGGACAAGTGTTTGGTCCCATGAATAATTGATTTAAAAAAGGTTATAAGGAACTACGTGTGGTTAATCAAATTTTGCTCATTAACTAACTAGATTGTGGCATATTTTTTCTAAGTCTCCCTTCTTTTCTTAATAAAAAATAATATATTTGATAAGAATTCATCATCATCATGTGTGGCACGACATCCCGTTACCGAGACTGGGCCTCCTCCAAGAGCCTCCGCCAGTTGGCTCTGTCTTCTGCTGCAGCTCTCCAGTTCCGTACACCAAGCAGGGTTCTCGCATCATAGGCCACGTTGTCCAACCATCTCGTCCTCAGCCTTCCTACCCGTCTTACAAGATGCAGCTCCTCCATCATTATTTTCTTTGGTATTTCAACGGTGCTCATTCTGGCCACATGCCCTGCCCACCTTAGTCTGGCCAGTTTAATATAGGTGACTACGTCGATGTCTGTATAGAGAGAACTGAGCTCCCTATTTTTTCTTTTCCTCCAGACATCACCCTCCTTTACTGGACCATAAATTCTTCTGAGGACTCCTCGCTCAAACACACTCAGCTTCATCTCATCGTTTTTGGTCATCGTCCAAGCCTCTGAGCCATATGTCAAAACAGGCCGAACAAGGGTCTTGTATATGATCAGCTTGGTCTTCTTTAAAAGTACCTACTTCTTAAGTGTCGGCCAAGTCCAAAGACACATCTATTGGCAGCCGTGATCCTTCTTTGTATTTCTTGAGCCATGTCATTTTTGCTATTAATTTCAGACCCAAGGTATATAAAACTTTTCACTCTCTCAAACTTAAAAGAACCTACCTCAAATGGAGAGTTCAGATCCACCTCACCACCAACTCTCATATACTTAGTTTTCCTCTCGTTGACTTCTAGACCAAGTGGTCTTGCAGCTGCTTCAAGGCCTATAAACGCTTCTCTGAGAGCCCGTTCAGACCTACCTAATTAATTTAAGAAT